GGCTCTGGCTGAGGGAATCATTGGAATGGCAGAACTGTGGCAGGCTCAGGAGGAGGATTAACCCTGGAGGGGAGCGTGACTTCACACAGTGAGTGACAGTCATATCTGGATAGAATCCTCACTGTGTGTTAATATCAGCATTACAGTAATCACACAGCAGGAGCTCTATCATGGCTCTGGCACAGTGTCACATGGCTGTTGGGTGCTGACTTTGGGGACACAGCAGATCACATGACTAGGTAAAAGATCAATCACAGTGGCCTTTTACCACATGATCAGCTGTGTCCAATGACACAGCAGATCACAAAGTAAATACAGTTGCCGGTGATTGGCAACACTTTTCTCACGCTGTCACAGTTTGAGGGAAGTACTGTCGATAAACAGCGAATGTCACAAAGCACATCTGCACTGATAATCAGGGAACTGATTATCAGTGCCCTGATCATCAGTGCCACCCACCAGTGCCCATCAGTGCCACCCACCAGTGCCCAGCAGTGCCACCCATCAGTGCTGCCCAGCAGTGCAGCCAAGCAGCTGCACCCATCAGTGCTGCCCATCAGTCAAGCCAGTCAGTGCCAATCATCAGTGCCACCCATCAGTGCTGCCTATCAGTGCCCATCAGTGCCACCTATCAGTGCCCATCATTGCTGTAAATCAGTACAGCAGCATCAGTGCTGCCTCATCAGTGCAGCCTATCAGTGCTCATCAAAGCTGCGTATCCATGCCACCTCATCAGTGCCCATCAGTGCTGCCTATCAGTGTAGCTTCATCAACGCACATCAGTGAAGGAGAAAACTTACCAATTTGCTAAATTTTATAATTTTATAATAGAAACCATGTTTTTTTTGCTTTTTTTTGTTTATAGTGCAAAAAATAAAAACCCCAGTGGTGATTAAATACCACCAAAAAAAAGCTCTATTTGTGTGAAAAAAATTACAAAAATTTATATGGGTACAATGTTGCATGACTGCGCAGTTGTCATTCCAAGTGCAACAGCACTGAAAGCTGAAAATTGGCCTGGGCAGGAATGGGTAAAAGTGCCCAGTAGGCAAGTGGTTAATATATTTGATATGCCTACTTTGTTGTTTTTGGTTCTATGGATTTTTGATTCATACTTTTTGGTCCGAATGCAGGACTTTCACATATATATTGTTTCTCTTCACATTAATTTCGGTTGGAAATATTTTTCATATTTGGGGACCTTGATATTTATATGCTTATTCTATATTATTATATATCACTTGAAGACAAAGCTGCATTTTGTTTTGAGGTGGGGTCAGGGGTTTGGTCAAGAGTAGGGTCAAAGGGGGCCCCCGTCAGGTAGGCTGTGCAGTACCCCATGATGTCTAACAGCGGCCCTCCGTGCACTTGTTTATCAATTCCCATAAACCAAGGACTTGTTTCATTCATTTAACTATATTTCCTTCTGTGTTTCCTCTGCTCAAATCTGATTTATTTTACCAAAATCAGTTAAAGTGTATATTACCCAAACATTTCTATTCCTGACATTTTATTCCTGATATTTGTCTGTTGTACCATGTACTAGTATGAAAAAGTATCCTGTTCTCCTTGTATTGCTTCCATTGTCTAAAATGCTTTCCTATTTCAAACTAACCATGCTATCCATAAGAGCACATCCATCCCAGTGTGGTCAGTTTTCTAGATGTGTTGGGGCAGCCTGTCTGTCCTCCAATGGTCAGACTTGTGCTGACACGTCCCCTGCCTAACCATTCACTGAGAAGATCAGTGTACTGTGTTTCTCCACCTCAGTTATCTAAGCCCCTTATGTAGCTGAGAACAGAGATTATGTGACCACTTATAAAATAAGAAAAAATAAGATATTTATATATAGAGTATAATACAAAAACGTTTTGTCTTTCAATGCTATTTCAAACTGAATGGGTGTTTTACAAAGTGAGGATTCACATATACTTTAATTTCCACTTTCTACTGCTGAGCTGTTCCTGCATACTTTTTAAGATTTAAAGTGATAATTTTAAATTAAGCATCTTGAGGTTAGACCAGGCACTTTGACTTCTAAAATAATGACATCTACAAACAGTGTTTCTGAAAGACAACAGGTGAACCTGTATTTTCCTCATTCAGCTCTCCTTTTCCCAGTCTGATTATTGTTTTCTCCACTTTATAACATGATCTCTTTACCTCTCCTTCCAACCATAGAGTCCTCTCTCTCTAAACTCTCATTCATTCACCTGTCCTCTCTACTCCATAGCATATACGTACATACACTATATTGCAAACGTATTGGGATGCCTGCCTTTAGACGCACATGAACTTTGATGGCATAGTCTTAGTCCATAGGGTTCAATATTGAGTCGGCCCACCCTTTGCAGCTATAACAGCTTCAACTCTTCTGGTAGAGCTGTCCACAAGGTTTAGGAGTGTGTCTATGGGAATGTTTGACCATTCTTCCAGAAGTGCATTTGTGAGGTCAGGCACTGATGCCAGATAAAAAGGCCTGGCTCGCAGTCTCCCCTCTAATTCATCCCAAAGGTGTTCTATCAGGTTGAGGTCAGGACTCTGTGCAGGCCAGTCAAGTTCCTCCACCCCAAATTTCTCATCCATGTCTTTACTGACCTTGCTTTGTGCACTGGTGCACAGTCATTTTGTAAATGTACATCCTTCCACTGCAGTTTGCAATTAAATGCTCCATGCTGAACAATGACCTCAGCCACCTGTCCAGCCTTTTTCCACTACTGGTCCTGGTGGAAGCATGGAACCCTTGCCATGCACATAGCGCTGGCTCCAATGTGCACTTGACTTTAACTCTTGAACTTCCATATCTCTGTACAGGATGGGGACCTCTGCAGCGCAGTTCCATTCTGGTTGCTATGGGGGATGGAATGCAACATAGGGAGTGCCAATAACATCTCCTTCATGGCTAGAGGCAATACCACTTATAACAGGTACAATTTTACAACAGGCTGCTTGCCGACTGTACTGTTCATTACTCATGGCAACACATGTATGGCTAGAATGTCTCTTAACATGCTGAATCTTTATATCTCATGTGCTAGTGACTCAAGCTGTAGACTAAGTGTGCGACAGTGCTGGTTACTTGCAGTGTACCCCTTTTAAAGGACTTCAGACCAGGCAGAAGGCAATATTTCAACAATTTACTGTAAAAAATCATACACACAACAAAAGAGTCCAAAGCAGACAAGACAGTCCAACAGAACTTCAGTAAAACAGTCATTATCCCTAAGTCCCTAGTCCATACTCCTAACCAGCCTATGTGCTAGCCTGCCGTACCTGCAGAGGTAAAGCCCATGTATCAAAAGGTCCATGGTTGTTTGATAGTGTCCAGCAGCTGGTATCTTCAGGGCAAACCCCAGGTTGAATGGCTCTCACATTCTTTGGGCTCATAAGAGGCTGTACCCCTCACGGGGCATGACTAATGGACCAGCCACAAGACTCTTGGGCTTCTGTTAGGGGAAATGGGGAAGAAGACCACCCTTCGACTTGGCTCTTTTTATATCCACAGGAGCAGTGGGTTGGACCCAAAGATCACGCCAAAAACCAAAGAGCCAAGAAAGCCATTAACCCAAACCCTCCTGTTCGGACAGCACCTATCTAACTAATTTCAACCTTCTTAGAAACAGGCAGCACCTCGTTTAGTGTTCTAACAGCACTTATTCTTTTAACTCAGCAGCCAGCTCCCACAGCAGAAACATCAAGAAAGAGACCTGCACATCAGTCACATTTATAAGGGTCTGTGGTCAGCTGAGACTAATAATGAAGTTTGGCAACCAGGTAAGACATGGACATGGGAACGAATGTTTTGCTCTACAAAACCTGTGGGCTTCAGGTCCTAGAACAGAATGTCCTAAGAGTCTGAGTTTGTTTTTTCCACATTGGTCATAAGCCCTCAAGCCCCTCATCATGTGTATGTGAGAAATCTAGGTGACAAACACACACCATTCACAATTCTGCCAGCCAGTATTGTATATACAGTATCAATCTCCTTTGCCTTTTTCTTGCTTGGTCATTTACCTGCAGTATCAGTCTGACCTTGCTTTTTTTAATTCTAAAACAAAATGCTTATGCCTTAGCCTAACTGCAGATTTATTTCTTTGATTGTGTAGTTATAACTCCCCAGAACAATAACATCAATACATTTAGTCTAAAATATCTGCAAATATGTAAAAGCAGTCTAACAAAATATTTTTAGAAACAAGATATTCCTAAAAAGAAAACAACATGTAATAATACTTTTTATACGTTTGCATATACTGTATGTAAATACAATCAATAAAAAATCATATGTTTGTATATGTTCGAACAATATGTAAAAGTCCTTGTCAATGTTTTTAACTCTAAAGTTTTCATTAAAAAATGGAGACTACGGTTGGATCAAATCAACACACATTACTCAGATATGGTCCACCGTTGTCACCATCAGAAAACCCACCCTGAGAAATGTCATGCAACCATTTCTGGAAAGCATGCATCTAGCCAGAAAGTGGCTGCAAGAGGCTGCAAAATGTAGACAGTACTGAGATGCAGCAAGAGATAAAAAAAAAGTGAAAAGAAGAATTGTATTTATGTACTATTAAAAAGCAATTGTTTATGGCACACAGTGCTGTAGCAAACTAGTTATGATAGTTTATTGTGTCCTGAGCAACAACAAAGTAAATGTGCTTAAACCCAAAAAGGTAACTTTGATACCAACAGCAGGAAAAATGTCACCACTAAAGATATTTGCTTGGCACATAAACAATGTATGCTTGGCTGAAACAAACATGAATCTTTCAATAAATATCTTTTGATGTAAAGGACTTTTATAAGCAAAATTGCTGTATGGTTGTATTTTCTATGGTATTTGGCTAATAAACATTCATTAATGATTTCTAGGGTTAATCTCTGCATCGTAGTGTTAAATAAGGACTATACAAAATTAAGCTGTTTAGCATTAACTGGTACAGTATGGTAAGTGTGCATACTTTTTTGTCCATGAGATAGATTATAGTGTGTCTTACCTGAAGGTAATGGCATGGTCTCAGGGAGGATTTGATTTCCTGATGGACAAGAGGTTTATCCAAATTAAGCGATGATTTCCGATAGGCTTCTTTTGCTTGACTAACAGTAAGTGTTGACCAAGAACTTCTCTTCATATATTTACCTTCAGGTGTCATTGCAAGTCCTTCACAAGCTGAGCATTTCATGTCATTGTTACTCTTAGAAGTCTTAAGGGAAAGGTCTCCAAAATGTCCCTGCAGAGATTCAGGATAGCAATGAGATATGTGGTCTACATGATGCCTATTCATTACACTAGGTGTTCTATAAGTGCTATCACTGTCCAAATTATCATCTGAACTCCACCATCCTGTCATCCCAGATTTATGCTTGTTGTCAGGTTTCCGCTCCTTACTTTTACTCCTTTTACTATGTTTTGAGTAATGGCCATGATGGTGATCATCACTGCGACTCTCTCCTTTTGTCCCATTAACATTACCTTTTGATGACCCTTCTAAAGAGTGAGATTTAGTAAAAAGTTTCTGCACAGAATGAACAAGATGACGTATTCTCCCTGGACTTTCCGTTCGCTGTTCTGTCGCAGTGGATGTCTTCTGGTACTGTAAAGTATGAAATCCATCTCTGTGCAAAGGAAGCTGTTTTTCAAATTGATCCAGTAAGTTTGCTGGAATCCGATTTATTTTACTACTAGTAGTATGTGAGACAGCACAGTCGTCTCGGGTTTCGAAATGGGAACTATAGTGCATTCTTGGAAAAGTGCTACTTGACATATGATCACTCATCATCACAGGCATCATCATGCATTCTGAGTGGATGGAACTCCGCGGAGAACATCGGTGGTGATCCATCTGACAGCTCTCCGTTGGGCTAAGTAAATATGATTGCCTAGGTTCTTGTCCATGGTGCCCATGGTCATGTACATGTTCACAATCATCAGGGGATGCTAGGCCACAAGTATGACCAGCGCATAGCTGTGACTGATTCCGACTGCCAGATAATCCTTTCATATTCCTAAGGGTAGGAGAGTATTTTTCTTCATTGAAGTGCTGGGTAGGTGACCATGAGTATTGCTGTTGATCTGGAAAGAAACATATTGTAAGTTCAATGGATTTTACCTGAATAACATGTTAATATATGAGCATATCTAAGCCTATGACAAGATTATCTAAAATTATTCTAGCTAATAACCACAATGGATCTTGAAAAATTATAAGGTTGTGAGACTAAAAAAGTTCCTTCACTTGCTCTGATGAGTCCTCCTCCCTGGTTCTACCCCTCCCCCTTTACAATATAAAACCCCCCATTTATTTTGTTGAGGTTTATTTTTTTTTTACCTTTTTCTTCTGACCCTGCCCTCTACCACCATTCTTGCCTAGGCAACAATGACATGTCCTTTTCTCCCAGCCTCCTGGGGTATCTACATTACATATCCCAGGAGGCTGTCAGAGTAAGATAAATAGTGGCTGTTGGCTAGCACACATCACCCTGGGCCCAATGCCTGAACATGGAAGATCCAAGTATATACAGTCCAATAAGAGTGCCAAACAATCATCCAAGAGTTTAATGCTTTTAGTGATAAATTTGGTTTATAGTTGAAAAAATCCAATGCGCCAAACAGATTCTACCTTTATCAGGGCTTTAAGAGTTTTGCTTTTCTTGTGATTTACTGCTAACAATTTCAGAAGAGCAAGTTAAGCTAGTGTTAATGAGTACAGCAAATAACCTGGGCTGACTGCCTGAACCTGGAAGAGGAAGCAGGTTTGCAATGATAAAGTTGGACCAGATGCGGACTGTCTCACCTGTGCAGTGGATTGCAGCAGAACAAAGCCGAATCCACTGGGCAGGGGAGTATGTAAAACAAGGACAAAACTGCATGACAGGTAAGAGGGGGTTGAAAAAAAAGGCAGGGGTAAATAATGTTACTCTTCAAGTGGGCACAGGATCTAGGCCCAGTTATGCATGAAGAGTGTTTTGAAGCACTGCAAAAATACCTCAGATGTTGATATCACCTCCCTTCAGACTCACACAGTTGTTCCTATTACATAGGGTAAATTGGACTCCTTAAGATTGTATTGCTTTTCCCACAGAGACTTTTTTTGTGCCCTAGGTGCACTTCAAAACAGGGTGATCTTTTTCACAGGTTCTGGAGGTGCCCAAAGATGGTCAGCTACTGGCAGGAAATGTTTGGCATTGTTAACGGACTTTAACATTGACTGTTCTGTAAATCAAAAAGGTTATCCTGGGAATTTTGAAGCTTCCCTTTGATGACCATTACCTAGAACTAGCAATATATAGAAAACTGAGTTTGGCCAGGAAAACAATAGCACAAAATCGGCTATTACCCCCTACTACACTGCTTCTAGACAGACAAGGTGAACTCTCTTCTATGCTTAGAAAGTTTACCCTACACCCACAGAACTGCTGCTAAAGAATTTGAGATGGCATGGGTGGCTTCATGACTCTACTCTTGCCCCCTGTCATGCACAAACTCTTTGGAGATTATAATCCTCAGGATAGATAGATGAACTGCACCTTCTAATTTTCATTAATTGTTATTACTATATATTTATACTATTTATATGTATGTTTATTAGTTACATATAATTACAATCTTTTGTTTTATGTATATCTCAATGAGAAATAAAACACTCATCTTATGAATTTATACTGCATATTATAATGCTGTACTTCAAGGCTATGTTTTCACATGACATGCCTGCAACACGTAGCCACATATCCAATTTAAACGTTGTCATATACTGAAAGTCACTGTTTTGTCCTGTAACTGTTCTTTATTTTCTCTTAAAAACAAGCTATGGAAAAACAGAATTACTTTGCTCTTCTCAAATAGAGTTTTAATGAAAAAATGTTGTGAGGCATACAGTATGTGTTCTTACCTAGTCTGTCACTATGCAAATCATTTTCTAATAAACCATACTTGTATAAGCAGATAGGACATTTCACCCCTCTTGCTGCCCATGCCGCCAACATCTGTTGCTGAGAAATATGAAGTCTGCACTAAAACAAGCACTTGTGGGAGTGTTTATCTCTTGAGTCCCCCACAGCTCTCAGTGGTTCCTCACTCTGACTTTCACTTATGACCGGATTCAGTAGTGACCAGGAGGTCAGCTGGAGGAGTGGGAGCTAAACAGGGCCATGGAGATAAAAACTTCTGCAAGTGTTGGTTTCAGTGTGGACAGAAGATTTCTCAACATCAGAGAGGAGTTTGGAGGTACAAGCAGCATAAAAAAGTGTATCTATACTTTGTTTTGGTTTTAGGAAATGGCTTGGTGGAAATTTTTTCTATAATGACATACTCTCTTTGAAGGGCAGTTCCAGGCAAGATGCAAAAACATTTAGTAAGCCAGCAATGCTATCCACAACACTTAGCAACTGTGATAAAGACAAAAGATCACTTGATTGACTTTACTTTACTTCTTTATAGTCTCCTGTAGAGAACCTAAGCACAGCTCATGTGGGTCAGTAGGAGTGTCCTTCCTAAATTCCATGAATTTTAATCAATTTGGTAGCTGTAAACTTTGTTATTGATAGTGGGGTTTTTTTTTTGTATTAAGCATTTTTTGTGAAAGAAAGTGGTAAGGATGAGCCAGCATCATCAGTAGCAGGGTTTCGGGATCACCAGGTCCACATAAATAGAACAGAACACAGTACAGAAATGTCTGGAGGAAAAAGTGAACTAGCGGAAAGGCTAGCATGAAGGCTATGTTTCTTTCCTCTGTCGGGATCTGCTGCTCCCTACTGTCTGTATCTGTAAATAAATGTGCTGATTAATATCACAGAGTTGATTAAGAATAATTTCCTGTCCCTGGGTTGGGACCACATGTCCTGCAATAGAGGAGCTGTTACTGAACCAGACCAGAAGCAGGGATTATTTGGCAAGTGTATTTGTATTAATGTGTTAAAAGTTTACTGTGGTTATCCATAGTTTGTGGATATATATATATATATATATATATATATATATACCTCACATGCACTATAGCAGATGATATACTGTATGTATATCAGCAAGTGAATCTGTTTATTTATTTATATGCAACTCCTGTTATTTTAGTTGACCCTGTCTCTTCTGGAGATTATATTGCTAGTGTCAGCTCAAGGCTCAGTAACCAGCATAGGCAGATTAAAAACAGGTTAGGTACTCAATGGCCCATAGGTAGTTAGAGAACCAGTTTCATGTAGCCCGCCACTTCATTTTCACAATTAGCAAGCCTGGGACTCAGCACTTCTATTCCTGCCCATGTGCACAAGCACATCCTTCGCTGTTAGGCTTGACAAAGGAGGCATTGCTCTTGAAATGCATAGACACACCCATTTATCCACATGGAGTGTGTGACATCACAAAGTCTACCCACTGTGCTTGGCTACAGTGTGTGATCTGGAAGAATATGCTTTCTGGTAATGGTGTTGCCCCTAAGCAGTTAGCGGTGTTGCTGTTGGCTGACAATGTGGAAAGAAGTGCCATGCAAGCCACTATTCAGCTGACAATCTTCTATCCAGTAAGTTGGGCTGGAGAGGGCCAGCAGAGCCTCCCACTATTTCAGTCATTTCAGGAACTAGCAAACATTTGCACAGTGTATGGCCAGCTTAAGATGTTGAATACCTTTTTTTGATGTGCCTGGTATGCATTTATCTGATTGAAGCTCCATTCACACCATTGCTATTCCACGAATTAACATGCTTTGCATTAAAGAATCTCATTCATTTGAAAAATGTGTGTTGCACCACATTGCACTAACACATGTATTGCATGTTACCACAATCCAGTAGTGTGTGTGAATAGGCCCTTAAACAAAGCTTAATTGGGCTTTGAATGATTTTTGAGAATATTGCAACACTATCCTATTGTGTATGTCCCCCTTTTCAATATCTACTGAAACATTTACTTTTATGCATTTTTTTTTTCCAAATTAACATTTGTAAAAGCTTCTATGCATAAATCATTCTATGAAGGCTATGTAATTTAATAAATTACATTCATCAAGCAACATATTTTTTTCAGTTTTAATGAAAACTAGTATAGAGAGAAATTGACAAATTAATAACCAAGCATAAAAATGTTAGTAAATTAAAAAAGCTAGAGAGTGGGTTTATTTTGAATCCATATTCCTTTTTTAAGATATATTTTTATTTTTAGCCAATATATTCACACCAGGTGCGGTGGGACTGTGTTGGGCTGTTATTACAGTGCAGTCCCACCGCATAGACAAGGCAAAATACTTTGTCTCCTATGTGCCCGGTTCCCACCACTGTGTAAGGCCTGGTTCACACCAATGCACTGTGCTTTTTGTTCATTTTGCAGTGCTTTTTGTAGTGTAATTTTGTGTTTTTGCATGTGCGTTTTTGCCAAGTTTTTATAGTGTTTTGTGTTTTTTGCATTTTTTTTGTTAAAGTGGAAATTGTTTTGTTGCTGGGCAGAATAAAAATGCAAAATGTGGCAAAACACTGCAAAAACGTACTACACGTGTTTCAGCAGCTTCCCCATTAAACTCTATTGTAGCAAAAATGGTGCTTTCCGTGTTTAAAAAAGTCCCTGACCCTTTCCAAAAACGCAGCAGCTCAAAAAAGCATAGATGTGAACATGTCCCATACAAACCATGTTAAATGGACTGTAGTGCATTTCTGCAAAAAGCACTAAAAAACGCATTGGTGTGAACCAGGCCTAAGGTGTTCTGCAGACACAGTGCACTGAGAAAAAGGACTGCATGCAATCCACTGCCTCGCACAGTGTGGCCAGCAACTGAACTTTATGAGATGACTTTGTGACATCTCACTAAAGTTTGTTTAAAAAAAAACAAAAACAAAACAGTGCAACCTGCCAAGTTCAGAGCATCATCAGTGTGCTGATCTCAGTTGGAAGGCACTGCACACTAACACACCAGCACTTAAGGTTTATGTTCATAACCAAGTACTTTTTTATGTTGGTTGTTGTATAAAAAAATGAAGATGAAACTGTTCATAGATGCATCGGTTTTTTTTTTTATTG